TCGAAGTCTGGATCAATGTGAGCAAGAATCAATCTCACATGCGTTCAAATCCCCGCGCTCTCCCAAACAGATGGTCGAAGTCTTTCTTGGAGGATGCGATTTGCTTCTTGGCTTCCTCTTTGTCCATGACATACTCTTCCTTGAAGTCGCTGTTGAATTTTTCAATGGTAGTAGGATCGTTGAATTCCACAGAAACCTTGAGCTTGACGGACCCCTCCCGGATGGACTCCACAGGTTCTTGCTTCTTCAGGACTCGTGGAATGCCTTCCCTTCTTGGTCTGTGTGGGCTTGTCCTTTTCGGATTGGTTTGCGTTGGCGTGGGCGTGGAAATGCTGAGCCAACTCTTTTGTGACCGTAGCGCCGATCTTGTGATTGACGAGGCAGATAGGAGCTATCTCACGTCTCCCGAGATATTGAAGCAATGCCCGTGCCTTGTTCCAAGGTGTAGAGCTCTATCAGAACAGACATTCACCGCGGATACTTGTGCAAAACCAAGTGCGAGGACACCGTGGATTTCCTGTGCAGAAATATGTCCTACAACGACAGAGCAACCCTCATCGGGAGAGGGAGGCAACAGTGCCCGAAGTGAGATCACACAGCCAGCAGTTCATCGAGAATCTTGAATGGTTGGGCAATGAAGTCTTTGATCTTGCGCATGCCGGCAGATGGGCCCTACCCTGAAGCGTAAGGCTAGACAGTTTCTGAGAGTCTTCCAGCGTCAAGACCATGTTCTTTCTGGCGCATGTCGGGTCAGGAGTTCTACTGCGACGGTCGCCTTGGCACCCTTGTGGTCGGATCACGGAGCCTGGCTCTGATGCAGAACCCTGCAAGATCCGTAACTTATTGAGTGTTGAGACACAGGATATGCGACACATTGCGAAATAGGGTCGGTCTGCCCTATGGATCATGGTACGATCCTTTGCTCCCCAAACTGCAGTGAGCAATTTCAATAGTAACTCTGAGTGGCAGAGCTTCTTGATCGTGGTGTTGACTTCTGAAGTCAGCGCACATGTCGTGGTAGTGCTTCGCCTCTGTCTGACACTCTTCCTTGGGTGTAGATCTCCTGGCTGGTTCTTGATGCCCCGTCTTTTGCGGCTCTCCGTGATTCAGGTTGCGCTGATACAAGTAATCCTAAACAAATCCATGAGGTTCTGGTCGTCATATAGACACTCCTTCATCAAGAGCGCATTCCTGAATGGAGCGCCGCGAGGAGCTGATACGGCAATCAAACCTCTCCCTCGTCCATTGTGATGCTTATCTTGCGGTCAGGGATCGCTGCGATCGCCTGCCTGGCGCTCGGCAAAGATCAAGATCGACGAAGACCCAAGACGTAACCATGCCCGCAGCAACCGATTCCAAAAACTCTGGTGAACTGCAAGATGACGTGCCCGGCGCTTGTTCCCTAACGGGCACGTCCAGGACAACAGAATTTCACTCTGCGCCCCCAGATTGCGCATCGCGGACAGGCTGGTGACATCCTGAGCCCTGGCGCAGGACCACCAGGCTTTAAATCATTATCTTAGCGCTGGGGGATGACAGCAAACGCACCAGAGCACGAACGACCAAAGCCAGCGTATCTCAGCGCCCCATCCATGCAACATTGGAGACGAACATTACAGGGACATGGAAGCAAATTTCAAGTCACGGCAGGCATCCTATGCTTGGCTAAAAGAGATTGCGCCCGACGCGCCGCCGTGTCTAAGAAGAAGCTAAGATCTACGACTCAGATGAGCTACCAATTGCCCTCCACAATGACAAGTTGGGCGCGGAGCAGACCATCGTGAACGTCGCCCAGCTGATCAGATATTGGAAGCCAGTGGGGCCTGGAAGGTTAGTCACCAAGCTCACTCATTCGAACTGGCGCACACGGTCGTCAATCGTCCTCCCGAACTGGCTTTCTCATATCACGCCGCGGAGCGCGTCTCATTTCCACTGGGATCCGTTGCGCCCAAGTCATCAGCATGAAGACGGGGTGTGTTGCGATTGGAAGAGATGGAACTATTTGAGACACACATTCTCCTCCTTGACGCTCATGCAGCGCGGCAAAACTCTCTTCTTCGTCGATGGATTGGCTTTCGCATGGCCGGCAGAACCACAGGTCAGTGATCTCGTTCGGTGGCGACTTGAGCTGGAATTGTGGCTGGCTGCAGACACATATTTCTTGAGCTACATACAGAGGAACAGAAATGAAATGTCAGTTCAACAATCTGACATGATAGACATCTGGAGCAAAAGAGAAGTTCGTGAATTGAGAAGTTTGATATCACGCGCGTCTGCCCCAAAAGCAGACACGCGATCGATGAACTACAGGTCATTTCCTTCGACTGGAGCAGGAAAGGCGATGTTCCGCTTTCACCACAGATGCATACAGCGTATCGAAGCGTGCTTTCTTTTTGGTAGCAGCTTTCTCGGCGTGCCTCGCGTGCGGCCGCGCCAACAGTTCCTGGTGTTCGCCAAGACGGTGAGAACAAGCAAGAGTGCTCTGTCAGTGCGCGTTGTTGGTTTCTCGAGGATGTTCCGATGTGATTTTGCGCTCTGAAGCAAGAGACCGGTCACATGGAACACCTAACCTGAGGGTTACGGACCATGTTTATTCCTCCGCGGTTTATGGTCAGGTAGTACACATGTTTACACCAGGGCAGATGCCAACAACCGGCCTTCTGCTGAACATTGAGACAACAACCGTGTTTGCCATGCTTCTGCCAGTTAATACGTTTGCCAACGAAAGTCAGTGATTCTTGTCTCGGAGCTTGGAAATCCGTCCTGAGCTTGGCCACGAACTCCGTCTCGAAAGCATCATCCCCACTCATGAGAAGGTCATTAAGATGTAATGAAAGACCTCCATGAACTCCCCCACCTTGCGTTCCAACCATTAAAAAATCCACTGCCCCTTCGCGGTCAAATGCGCTTGATGTTCTCCTCTCATCTGTCGTGGAGTAGTTTGGAACTGTTCTACTGTAACACGCATATGTACAACGGCACGTGTTGGCACCAATCCGAAGGATCGCAATGATGAATCGAACATATTTTACATCTTCTTGGCGCGTCAAGCAAGCCGCAAGCCGTACGTGGGCTTTTCCATTGCGCCCGCCGGGTGTTTCATGAAGACGAGAGGTTGCCAAAGAACACAACTACCGCTCTTATTAAGGTGACCAGAACGAAATCACCATCGAGACCGGCAACAAGGCGTGCGATAACCCAGCCATAGCCAAAAAAGAATGGTCCATGCCCTTTTATGTGGTCAGATATGTTGACAGATCAGGCCTACCAGTTGTCACTATTGCCGCGTCTACACCTTGTTCCTTCGAGCGCCGGGGGACCTCCGCGGTTGCCGGGGCACAGCAACGCAAGGAGGAGTTCGCAGCCCCCACGTGCAAATATCACCGTGATTTCGTGACCGGTGACAGACACCGTTGCATTTCATCCAACCTTCAAGAACATGTGCAGCGGACAGCGGACACGTTCAACATTCTTTCCAACACAACCGGCTCGAGATCAGTATCAGGTCCACCGCAACACTCAAGGATATAGCGCAGTGTATGCTCTACAACAAGAAGGTTGCAGAGAGCCAAATATCCTGGTTGCGTGTTGGCCATTGTCATCCATTGGGCAAAGACTGGGGTGCAGAGGAAGCTGAGTGAGCTTGCGTACGAAGCCATGTCCGGCGAAGAGACGGAACAATCTACACCAAGACTTTTTTTGCAACTGCGCATCAAGTCAAGGATGCGCCTTTTCAGACATTGTAGACGTGCTTTCCTCTTCAGGTCTGACCCAACCCAACTGCGACACAGCCGGCGAGATGAGAGTTCCGACCAGATACTTCCTCGACTGGTATTCCCTCACAGACGTGATTCCTTCTTCATTTCTGATTGCGACGTAGATGGCATGTCTCACACTGCTGAAGACACTAACTAGTTTGTCTCTTTTTGCGCAATCCACGTAGACAGAAATAGCTATCTACAGATCATAGCGCGTTGCAGCCGGAAAAGTGTTTCCCATGTGGCTCGGTGTGGAAGATCAGAAGAAGTTTGTCTTTGTTTTCGCTGTTGCGTTGCAATGACATTGATCATTCATCAATGTATATTGTGGATCAAGGCCTGGTTTCTATCCAGGCCTTGCCTACTGTGAAACAGGTTGCGCCCTCAACAAGAACACGCATGCGCGCGAAGATGTTGTTGTTTTCCCATCTGCTTTCTTTGCCTAAGAAGCACGGGCGGAGCGCGGTTTACTTGAAAAAGGAAGACGTGAGTTTCGCGTAAGGTAAGGGCCAAGCAGGTGGGGAAGTAGGCCCTCCGTCTATCAAGTGCCGGAGGTGTTTTGCGTTTGGCAGATGTTCTGATACCACCACTCAAGAACCCTGGTGTAGGCCGCTTCTTGTGAGTGAGGCCAGGCATTCGCACGCGCTAGCCCAAAAAATCCTGAGGACCTGAGTGATCCGGGTTGTTTGGATTGCTTCCAAGCCCAAACGGACACTCATGTAGGAGATGCGTGCCCCCCGGTAAGGAAGACCCCTTTCGCTTTAATAACCTCAACCCGCGCTGCCAGCTTCAAAGGGCAAAATGCTTTGGGAAGCTCTCCGTTGGCTTTCGCACGTCAAGACCAGCATTGCCAAAATGATTCGGTCCGCTTTTGGTGCTCGAATTGTGGGTTGCCATTCTTAGCCGAGCAGCCCAAATGGTTGCGTAAGTTTTTTTCCTACCATACAATCCACACTCGCCATAGAATAAACCTCGCTGCGCCGGCTCTCAGCACACCTACATATTGTGTTGACCAGGGGTTTCCACAACAGTGTCAACCATTTGCTCATCAGATTCTCGTTGAGAAACAGATGCTATTGGGAACTACGGGGCTCAGGGGGCCTTTCCTTTGAGAGGGTTTAAACGTTTCAAACGGTTTTTCCAGATTTGGTCGGGGTGTTAGAAATCAATTTTAATTGCGGCCGATTGCTGACTTGCAGGGTTCAGACACAGGTCAAATTCTTAGCCTTCAGCTTTGGCGAGGCGCTGAAGAGCCAAAGGATTCCAAGGAGGGCAAGGAAGTGAGAGACGCCAAAGATACAAAGAAGGAGGAGCAGGACGTGCCGGATGTGAAGGAATTGGAGCCTGTCGCTGGGACGTTTGGAAACTTTTTACCAATGACTCTGAAATGCTAGTAAGTGTTTTAGCGCATTGTTGAACGTCGACCAAGGTCGAGGCCAAGGCGATGGCGTACCCAAAGAAGGATGCGACTGCGCCGGGGGTTCCAGAAAATATTCGGCGAACGCACGCCTCTAAAAATGGGACGGGGAAGCAGGTTGATTCCGATATTTGGCAAGTCTTTGTTTGGCCTTGTGCATGAGACGCCTTTGTTTACCGACCTCAAGTACCCTTTGATGTGTTTGAAGGGTTCCAAAGGATGATTTGGTACCTCCGTCGCACGAGGATCTTCTTGCCCAGGGCTTGCAGGGATCAATGTCCAATTTTCCTCTTCTGGCATGCTCATTTGAGAACCGTCAGTAAATCGATGAATTTCGGGAAGGACCAAATCGGCAAACGCATGTGAGCTCCGTACCAATTTCCTCTCCACACTTAAGCCTGGGTTGACATGCGGGGGTGGCACCTATCGATTTGAAATGACCACCTCGTTTCAGCTATGTAATTCACCCGGCACGTGTGCATGGGCTGTTTGTGTTTCGCTACCCTCAAACATGTTTGCTGAATACGATGTCCACCGAAAGGGTTCCTAGTTAAGACGTATACCTTGTCGCAGCAAGATGCTGGGCTTACTCGGAAGAGGTTGCCGAATCTTCTTCATGGAGCCCCGCCACACAGCCGTCACAGCATCCCCGTATTCAGCTCATTTTCTGCAGTGATAGCACACTAAGATTTCCAAGTTATGGCATGGCTTTCTTTTGCCTTTGGTTTCGTTGGGACTTTCGACATTGTTTTTGTTTCCTTTCAAGCACCAGCCAGAAGGAATCTCTCAAAGGACCTTGGGCCCTTTGAAGGCGCCTTTCTTGAGGGTTCCTTTCGGGTTTGCAAGCTTCGCTCCTTCGAATAGCTTTCATTTTAGGAACCCTGGCAAGACTACTTTAAAGGTCCAGTATGAAATGAGTACCGAACCTCTAATCGTTTTTACGGGTAGTCCAGCCACAAACATTCAAGGACAAAATATGTAGGTCTTTGAGGAAATGCCGTTGGGGTTATGAACAAAGGAAAGCAAAGGAACATAACGAACCCACCTGAATACAATTATTCAGAATGTCAACTTGCGCAGATGGGTTTCCCTTTGGCCGATTCTTTTTCCCCGGGTGACTGGACATTGAAAACCTTTGGCCCAGGTTCGCAGACTTGAAGACAGAGAGCATCCGTAGCTCGCACATGCGCGAGCGGCTGCGGAGCAAGGTGCTCCTCGGACGCCCAGTGACTCGTTTTGGGCATTTTTTCCCCAAGAACTCACTTGGTGGACTTGAAACTTTTTGAACATATTATTTTAGCGGTAAACAAGTCCGGACTTCTGGCCAACCAGGCTGCGAGGCTGCCACTTTGCTTGCCCCTTCTGCGTTTCGTTTGAGGGCATTTCAATCTGGCCGCGCATTGCGCCGAGGCTGGAGCGTCACTGCCGGACGGCACAGGCCAGACTGTAGACTGAGCCAAGTCCCAGCAGATTGCCTGGGCACCTGGACCTTCCCTACCCAGAAGCCCATAGGCCCATAGGCCCCTGAGATGCTCTCAGATGCTCTCAGATACCTTTATGTCAAAGATGTTTGCTTGGCATTGTGTGCATCCAGCGAGAGGGAATCCGGCGCATGTTCATGTGCAATTGCATGGCGCTTATCAAATGTAATTTGTGCATGCGCAAGCACAAACGCACTAGAATTTGCTGCAGTACTGGGCAACAGACATGTTTATGGTGTGCAGCAACATTTCTTTCCGGACAGCTGCTGGTTGAGGTAAGTGGAGAGAACAACGTTGCCGTTTGCAACTCTCTCCTCTCGCAGCGCGACGCTCCAAGAAGATTGGACGGATCGATGTGCAAATTGTGTTGCAACTTTTTGGTCGCAGGGTCTCGTGTTCTTGAGTCTCCGAATGTCTCGTGGTGTGCGGCCGTCCGAATACCCCCCTCCGGCTTCCCGAAAGTTCGCAACTGGAAACTGCCGTCCAATTCCCACAGCCCATCTCTCAAATCGCAAGCACAAAACGTGGTGCGCTGTCTCGAGTCGTCAGCTCCTTGAAATTCGCAAATTTGCAGTCGAAATGTAGTGCGCAGTGCGATAGAAAGGCATTGCGAGCTCGCGCAAAGAACTTGCAAGAGCGTGCGCAGAGAACTTGCAAAAAGAAAATGCGTCACAAAGCTTCAGAGAAACTTGCCTTGAGAAACTTGCACATAGAACTCGCGCAGAGCAACTTGCAGAGACCTGCTGTTTGCGCGGCCACTCGTGCTGGCAACTTAGCAACATTTGGGTTTTGGGCACCTGTTTTCTATTTTGGCGGGTTCCCCGCAAAAGACATGCTAAACCTTTAAAGGGGTTCATATTCTGCCACAAGCAATCTTCACCAGAACTTTGGCTTTTTGGGGAGCACTTCCAAAAAGAGGTGGCGCTTGAATGTTTGAAGTGCCTTCGCGAGGAGAAGCCGACGGAGAAGGAACAGCAAGTCGCAAGCCCCAGTTGTTTTTTTTCAGGAGGGCTATTGTTTTAAGGAATTTCTCGTTTTTCGTTAGGACTTTCCTGGATTTTATCTTATTTAACTTCTTAGTTTCTTGGCTTTTTGGCTTTTGGCTTCTTGGAGTCTGGGCTTTTGGCTTTGTGGCTTTTGGGCTTATGAGCTTCTTTTGTTTTTTGGTTTGTATCCAGGCAGGTTTTTCGGCTTTTGTGACCAGCAACACCGCAGCATCACCAGCTTTTGGCTTTTGGGATTTTTGGTTGGTGGCTTCTTGGCTCCCAGGCTTCTAAAGATGAGGGGGCTGAGACCCACCCCCCCAACCCCCGCGCTTCTTTGTAGGGCCGTTGTTCGGCTTTGTGATGACCTAACACGGCAAGCCCAGAACGAACCCAAATGAATCCAAAGCCCACCCTAGAACCACGTTTTGGCCTTGAAGCCAACCCTAAAGAAAGCATAAGAAATCTAACACCAGCAAGATTCCCCAAAGAAACCGCTAAACAAACCCATTCTAAACCAGCAAGAGGCTACCCCAACCGCACCCCCAACCTACCCGAAACCAATCCTAAGCCGGCACGAAAAAAGCACAAAACCATCTATCATAAGCCCACCTTAAACCACCCCCCGCCTAAGCAAGCCCTATACTACCCCTAACCTAACCCCCCACTAAACCCACTCTAAAGCAACCCTTAACAACCCCAAAGCAAACCCCTACCCCCCCCCCAAAAAAAAAATGGAGAAAAGGGGCTAGCCAGGGGGTGGCCTGTTGATGGTTGTCTGTTCTGGTTTTTATGTTAATCTCAAATCTGTGTTCCCCCTTATTCGTTTTTAAAAGGGGTGTTTCGGGGAGCTTATATATCGTTTTCGTTAAGGTAATCATTTGGGTAAATTGTCGCCTTGTTCATTGTTGGGCTGGGGGCCGACATTTTTTTCATTTGAAAGAGTTGGCCCTTTTAGTAGTTATCAAGTTCTGAGGTGTTGGTGGTGTATTTGTTTTGTTAGTGTTTTTCTCATTAATTTTCATTTATAGGTTAAAAGTTCAGTATAATTATAACATATGATATTTTACATGTTATTATTATATTATGATTATAATTTCAGTTTAGGATAATAATTTAATTGACAAATCTTACTTATTTCATACATCATTTTAAAAATAATATTAACATCTCTCACTGTATTCTGAACATTAAACTGTTTACTTTCAATAAATAATTTGATATTTTCTTTAACATCTTCTCCTTTCTCTTGACTATAACCCAACATCCATAATATATCATAAATCATGTCATATTTTTCTTACTGATTTATTCCCAACAGACATTTGATTAATTCTTGATACTATCTCCAATTTCTACAAATTTTACATAAATCTTCTTCATCCATTGAATAATCAATAATATTATTCACTATTTCATTAGGTAAATTCAATTTATACAATTCCATACTTTCTTTTTTGAAGTGACAACAATCATGGCATTTTTTTTATTGATATAATTATTGATTCCATCACCGTTCGTTTTCCTCTTAATATATAAGGTAATATTTCTTTAAGTAGTTTTGGCTAGGGGGTTTCAGGTTTAATTTAAATGTCTTAACCTTCTTGTTAGATTATAAAACAATGTTTAATCATATTATAAGATAATAATATTCATAAACAAAAGTTAATTTGTCCCGTATTCAATCTCACCCACTAGCATCCTCCATTCGTCAAACAACAGCGTATCCATACACCAAAAAAGGCGTAAGGGCATTCCCATACGCCAAAAACGGCGTATCCATACACCAGAAAAGGCGTAAGGGCATACCCATACGCCAAAAACGGCGTATCCATACACCAAAAGCGGCGTATGGTCATCTGGTGCTTGTGGTTCGTTGGTAGGACTCTCATTTTGATGCATCCTGTGAGAGATACTACCGTGGAGCGGACACTAACGACACGCCACGGTTGGGTTGGGTTTCGGTCCCCTGAGCATCCTAAAGCAAACTGACAATTATCTCACTAACCAAGTTTGAAGGAGCCCTATACAACTCATCTTGTCTATGTTTAATGTATCCCTCACCCCAATCTGATTTCTTTCCCGATGGCAACCGTTGAGCAGTTTCTAAATGTTTCCCATTCCTAATTTTCCCACAATCCCTATTACATAATGGTCTAGGTTTCCATGTTGTTATGTTAGTCCAAAGCCTAGTCCTTTTCCTATAATTCATTCCATATTTACAATAATCCACATCATAGTAGTTTAAACCACTCATAAAGGGTTGTTCCTTCAAAAGTCCAGTTTGAGGGTTTTTTTATTATTATCCAGTATTGACAATTGAAATACCTTATTACTTCCAACTTTTTTAAAACAATACTATTAGCGTAATCTATTTTTCTAACCCCAGTTGTTTTAGCTCTGCTGTATTCGGTGCACGGAGGAGATGCCCAAATAAAATTGAAATGGTTTCTGTCAAACTGTTTGTAGTCCCATTCAAGTATATCACAATTAATATCAGCATTTTTCAAATCCAATGATATAACATTATAACCGAGCGACTTTGCTACTTTACCAACTGAAGAAGTACCACTAAATAGTTCTAATAAGTGCATATATTATTAGAACTATTTAGATATTAATATTTTCCTTTTCTACATTATGTTCATTGTCATTTGATTTATATGATTGACATTTCTTAGTCTTTTGATGTCTCCATAATTTACTTTTGCGACCTACTAATCCACACACTTCGCATGCTACATTCTGCTTGTTTTGTTCAAGAATTTGTTCTCTATTTATTTGGTAATACTCTTTCCTATGTTGTTTATGTTCTTCTTTGTTGTTTTGATACCATTCTTTCATTCCGTTCTTTATTTTCTCTCGGTTAAGTGGGTTATACAGTTCTTTGTATTCTTTCGGTGTTCTACCTGCCACACAACGATTGACACATTCTATATTTTGGATATGATAACCTTCTCGTCTAAGTAGTTGCTCTTTACTATCACACGGGTAGTTTTCAATGAGTTCTATCTTACAATTCTCAACTCCGTATTCGTTAAACAACACTCTAGAATTCGAATGTTTGTTTTGCACGTGCTTTTCATTGAAATAATAGTTCTGCCTATGTCTTGCCATCCTTTGGCTTAGTTCCTCACACGTGCTTCCTACATAACACTTTTCATAACCAACATCAACTATTTTGTAAATTTTAGCGTTCATATATCTTTCCATATCTGTTAATATCTTTAATCATCTTTTCTTTAATTCATTTTATCCTGAAATGACCATATGGTAGAGAAGTAAAGGCATCAAAATAATATCTTTTATTTTCAAACTTACTCAGAGATTGCTTAACTTGAGACATTGAGAATAACTGATGGTTGCGACAACGAATAAAATTATATGTTATTTCATGCTTTTTGTTTTGAAATAATGCTTCGTGATAGTTCTGATATGACAGTTCTTTTTTCACCTTGTGGTTTACTACACCTTTTGACTTTTTATGTTCATCATCCTCACCGTGTATTGTAAAAGCATATGACTTTGGTTTGAGAGCTATGAATTTGGTAATTATCTTTGAAGAGCATCCGTCCTTAAACATTCCTAAGACCTTTTTATTAGTTTTGTCATGACATGGATGCTCAACAGGATAGTCGCTAAAATCCATGTGTTGCTTTATATCATTGAAATCCTTATAGACATCATCAGTCATTGTTTGAATTACATAACTGTCAGTATCGGTATAAACCAGTTTGTGTTTTCATTATACTTCTTTTTCAATACATCATAGTAAAACTGATACATATGTAATTTGCTTAAATCTAAAATGCTCATTCCCAGGAAAATCGGCTTATCCAATTTCAGCTTCGCTTTAGTTTTTTCAACTCCTACCAGATTTTCATTTATAATAAATCTGTTTTTGAATGTTGGATTATTAACACATTTTTCATATCTTACCTCATTATCAACTAATTCAAAATCCATATGGTTTCGCTTGTCTTCCATAGTTTTTCCGTACACCGCGTTATTCATTAATTTGAATAAATCTTTCTCAAAATCGCTTTTGGCTTCTTTCCTTTTACCAGTGTTGAAGTCAATCCACGGTTTCAACCATGCCCTCTGTTGAAATTCTATTATCCTATGGACTTTACCCATTTTCATTCCCATTTTCAAATAATACTGTAAAGTCTTGATATGAACCACATATTTTTCTTTATCCTTTAGATTTAATATTAACTTACTTGTTTTCTCGTCCTTGGGGCTTTTACCATCATAATATATTTTGAAGACTTGCTTTTGATAGTCGGAAAGCATATTCACATTTACATTCATTATTTCAGGCGCTAGTGGGTAGTCAGAGTGGAAGTCGTGCAATGTTTCGGGATATTCCAAATCAACTTCCATAATATAACCGAACTCATCGTTTTCATTCCATTTTTCAACATTGGGACTTTTCTTTGCCCACTTGATATTTTTCAGCGGTAACTTCTGGGACATTGCTAAACCATACAAGTTATTAGCATCCAAGTAACTAATATAATTTGATGGCTTGTTCTCATCATATGCTTCCCCCATATACTTTTTAGTTGCCACTGATAATTTATGACTAACCTGACACATTCCTCCTCTCATTCCCTTTTCAACCATCTCAAACATTTCTTGGTCATGCAATTGTTCTATTTCAACACCAGTTTTTAGAAGCATCGCGTCCCATGCGAAATTTGGCAACGTATAATAATGAGCGGGGTCTAAACCGTAGTATTCCATACACAAGTCTCTAAAGTTTTCAAATACATCGGTCAGTAGTAAAACATCAGTTCTTAAATACAAGTCGTGATACTGCCCGAGTGTTCTAATCCCGAAGTGCTTCCATACTTTCAGTGCCCTTTCATAATCTTTATCACTTACATGTTCTTCACTCAATTTACTGTAAAACGCTTCTTTCGGTGGTAAAGCCCTTTCCTTAAATCTTTCAAAATCATCAAAGTAGTCATAGGGATAAATACCCTTATC